GGAGCCTACTTGAGCCACTCTTTGATTGGGTCGAGGGAGGCGACGGGGATGGCGTTGATCATGGTGACCTTCTTGCTGTAGTCCTTGTAGACGATGACCATGTCGAAGTTCTTGAGGTGGAACTGGACCCGCTCGAAGTGGATGAGCTCCACCTCGTCCAGGGTGACCACGAAGGGCGGCTGCGGTGGGGTGGGGGCAGGAGAAGACAATTATGGGGTGGTGGACCCCTCCACGGGGTGGTGGACCTCCAAAAGGAGGTGCGGGAGGTCCAACGTACCCACTCGGTGCAGTTGACCAAGGCGCTGCTGGTGGGTTGGAGAAGGCAGGTGCTGCGGTACGGGGCGCCGTTGAAGCTGGGGGGGAAGACAAGGAAAAAGCGTGAGGAGATGCCAAAACACCATGAGGAGACACCAAAAGATCATGAGAAGATCAAAAAAAATCATGAAGAGATCCCAAAAACCCTGAGGAGACACCAAAAAACATGAAGAGACACCAAAAAAACATGAGAAGACACCAAAAAAACATGAGAAGACACCAAAAACCATGAGGAGAACTCAAAAAACTTGAGGAGATCCCAAAAAATCATGAGGAGATCCCAAAAAATCATGAGGAGATCCCAAAAAATCATGAGGAGACTTCAAAAAACCATGAGGAGACCCCCAAAGAAACACTAGGAGACCGCAAAAACCATGAGCAGACCTCGAAAATGATGAGGAGACCCCAAAAAACCATGAGAAGATCCCAAAAAATCATGAGGAGATCCAAAAAACCATGAGGAGATCCCAAAAAATCATGAGGAGATCCAAAAAACCATGAGGAGACACCAAAAAACATGAGGAGACACCAAAAAAACACGAGGAGATCCCCAAAAAACACGAGAAGATCCCAAAAAAATGGGAGGAGACACCAAAAAAACATGAGGAGATACCAAAAAACATGAGAAGACTCCAAAAAACATGAGGAGATCCCCCCAAAAAAACGAGGAGATCCCAAAAAACGTGAGGAAACACCAAAAAACCATGAGAAAACCCAAAAAAAACAGGAGAAGTCCTCTGAAGAGAAGAAGACATCTCCAAAAAGTGATGGGAGAACCTCAAGAGCTGGTGGCAATTCAAACCAAGATGGTGGCATCTCCAAAATCATGGCGGCCCCTCAGGCCACCTCGACGTTCTAGTGGCCACCTCAAGGTCCTGATGGTATCTCCAAGACCTTCCGGTGGTCACCTTGAGGTCCTTGTGGTCACTTCGAGGTGCTGGAGGTATCTCCAAGATCTTCTGCTGGCCATCTCAAGGTTCTACTAGTCACCACAAGGTTCTGGGGGCCACCTCGAGGTTCTACTGGTCACCTTGAAGTTCTGGTGACCACCTCGAGGTTCTACTGGTCACCACAAGGTTCTGGTGGCCACCTCGAGGTTCTACTGGTCACCACCAAGATGGTGGCATCTCCAAAACCCATGGTGGCCCCTCCAAGCAAGCCGGTGGCCTCTCCAGAGCCAGGAGGTCCCGGTGGCCACGGTGGCCACTCACCCCAGCTCCCGGAAGGGCACCTCGAACTCCAGCTCCTCCTTGGTGAGACCTTCCACCTTCTCGATGAAGTTCTTGAAGGCCGTCTTGAGCTTGTGCCGCATCTCCCGCTCCATCTGTGGGAAAATGGTGGTCACCGCCGGGTTTTGGTGGCCACCGCCAGGGCCTGGTGGTCACCTTGAGGTTCTGGTGGCCACCTAAAGGTTCTGGTGGCCACCGCTGGGGCCTGGTGGTCACCATC